CCACCTTTGCCTCTCTTTACTGAATAGAATTACTATTTTTCCCTCATACGATCTTCCTGTGTGTCCACAAGGGGGCAGGTGTGGTAAGCAGAGGGGTCCCAGCCTGTAAGACACTTCTTTTTCTTTAAAAAAAAAAAACAAAAAAAAACAAAAAAAACAGAGTCTCACATTGTCGCCCAGGCTGGAGTGTAGTGATGTGATACCAGCTCACTGCAACCTCCGCCTCCAGGGTTCAAGTGATTCTCCTGCCTCAGCCTCCCGAGTAGCTGGGGTTATAGGTATGTGCCATGACACCCAGCTGTTTTGTATTTTTTTTTTTTTTTTTTTTTTTGAGACGGAGTTTCGCTCTTGTTACCCAGGCTGGAGTGCAATGGCGCGATCTCGGCTCACCGCAACCTCCGCCTCCTGGGTTCAGGCAATTCTCCTGTCTCAGCCTTCTGAGTAGCTGGGATTACAGGCACGTGCCACCATGCCCAGCTAATTTTTTGTATTTTTAGTAGAGATGGAGTTTCACCATGTTGACCAAGATGGTCTCGATCTCTCGACCTCATGATCCACCCGCCTCGGCCTCCCAAAGTGCTGGGATTACAGGCTTGAGCCACCGCACCCGGCCTATGTTTTGTATTTTTTAGTAGAGATGGGCTTTTGCCATGTTGGCCAGGCTGGTCTTGAACTCCTGACCTTAAGGGCAATTATGATACAAGTGTGCTGGTGACCAGTTCTTGATGAGGGACCATATGTCACAACAGAGAAAGCACTTGGATCCACGGGAGGCTGCCAGGGGAAGAAGTATGGGACACAGAACCTACAGACAGGGTGAGGTGATGGAAGGACATAGGCAGAGAATGGTGTAGGTTTTGTGTCTGGGGGACACTGGGAATAGCTCCTGGCATTGAAACAGGTGTGTAGAGGATGTGGTGGGACCTACAGGGACAAGACAGACTGGAATCTAAAGGACATTTGAATCCCAGTGTGACCAGGGTCTTTAAGAACAGGTTGGGGCCAGGCGTGGTGGCTCATGCCTGTAATCCTAGTACTTTGGGAGGCTGAGGAGAACAGGTTGCTTAAGCCAGGGGTTTGAGACCCACCAGGGGAAACACAGGGAAACCTTATCTCTTTAAAGATTAAAAAAAAAAAAGTTGGGAAGCTCCTCCGTGGTACTCTGAAGAAGCTGGAAACTGGTGGGAGTGGGAGGGAGGCCAGTGAGGAAGTAACCCTGGCAGGCAGGCAGCAGAGGCTTCCATAGTGTGGGAACCCAAAGGATGAGATTGGAAAGTGATTTGTAAACAGAATGAACACAGTTGGGTGTGAAAGCTGAGAACACAGAAGGAATCAGAGTGAACTGGAGGCTTTTGGCCTTGGTGACCAGATAAGCCTGGGGGAGGAAAAAGAGTAATATTCTCGTGGGAATAGGGGACTAGCAAATAACGTGTTTGACCTGTTCATAGCTAGTGTGCTACGATGCTCTGGAGTTGTCCAGCAGGCTCTGGTGAGGGCAAACTGCTCGTGGTCATTTGAAGTCCGCTCAGAACTCCAGGCAAGTGGGGTTCTGGAGGATGTGTGGTCCACACAACCTGCTCTGCAGCCACCCATGCTCAAATCAGACCTGCTGTCAAGGAGCTTTTCTTCTTCCCCCAAGACAAAGTCTCACTCTGTCTCCCAGGCTGGAGTGCAGTGGTGCAATCTTGGCTCACTGAAGCCTCTATCTCCTCGGTTCAAGTGATTCTCCTGCCTCAGCCTCCCAAGTAGCTGGGATTACAGGCAACTGACACTATGCCTGGCTAATTTTTTTGTATTTTTAGTAGAGGCAGGGTTTCACAATGTTGGCCAGGCTGGTCTTGAACTCCTGACCTCCGATGATATATACGCCTTGGCCTCCCAAAAGTGCTAGGATTGCAGGAGTGAGCCACCGCACCCAGCCAGGAAATTTTTCTTTATGCTGCTCTGAAGCCACCCTCAGAGAACTTCACCACTGGCCTATGGCCATCCCATCTGAAAAGACAGAAAACCACTGGAGTCAGGAGCCCCCTTTCCCTGCTTGTCCCCTCCTGTTGTCACATACTGCAGCTGGCCCTGGCAGCAGCATGCCTTTTCCGCTGTTTCGCTTTATTTCTTTGACTTCCCCCCTTCCTTTGTACTCCCAGATGGCCCTCTGGATTCTTGGTTATCCTTTATTTTTCTTTCAGTTTTGGGTACTTGATGAATGGATAAACCAGAGTTCATTTGAGCAAAATGGGAATTCATTTGATTGAGTTTCCTCAGGAGCAGGGTTCCTAACATAGAGGTCTGTGGGTAGAATGGTAGAATTAAGAGAGGGAAAACATTTTTAACTGTTTTGGTGACTGTGTGCTGTAGATCTATGTGGTTTTTTTTTTTTTTTTTTTTTTTTTGAGACGGAGTTTCGCTCTTGTTACCCAGGCTGGAGTGCAATGGCGCGATCTCGGCTCACCGCAACCTCCGCCTCCTGGGCTCAGGCAATTCTCCTGCCTCAGCCCCCTGAGTAGCTGGGATTACAGGCGTGCGCCACCATGCCCAGCTAATTTTTTGTATTTTAGTAGAGACGGGGTTTCACCATGTTGACCAGGATGGTCTCGATCTCTTGACCTTGTGATCTGCCCGCCTCAGCCTCCCAAAGTGCTGGGATTACAGGCTTGAGCCACCGCACCCGGTAATCTGTGTGTTTTATGCATTGAAAAACAACTGTTTTGAGAAGGGGTCCAAAACATAAGGGGTGAAGCCCTGGTGCCAAGGGTGGAGACAGGAAAACTGGAAGACCTGTGGCTTTAGACAGCTGCTAAAACCCACTGCTTTTCCTGTAGTCACCTTGACAGCACTGCAGCCAGGAGGGGAAGGGGAAACTTAGCTGAGTGGAGTGCCCATGGAATTCTGAGCGGAGGCAAGTGGCTGGCTTCAGACCTTGGAGGCCAGAGGAGTGATCCGGCCTGGCTTAGTCCTGTGGTGACACAGGATGTGCTCTGGAGCTGCTGGAGGACCTGTGGAGCACTGCAGGCTCCACACAGTGAGTCCCCAGGCAGGTTCACACCCTTTGCAAGGCTGCAGGTAGGTGGGGATACTTACTATCCTACTTGGAAATCAGAATCCCAGCTGTGTGTGACCTGAGACAAATCACTTAACCTCTGCTAGCCTCAGTTGCCCCACCTAGAATGTGAGGCTGACCCACCTCTGGCGTAAGGGCAAGGATGGAGGCAGGCAGTGGCCCAATCTGGACTCCACATTTTCCCACCAGCCTCTTGACTCTTTCTGCTTTTCAGGAAAAAAGCCTGTAAATACTTTGAGCAAGGCAAGGGGACCTGTCCATTTGGAAGCAAATGCCTTTATCGACATGCTTACCCTGATGGACGGCTAGCAGAGCCTGAGAAACCTCGGAAACAGCTCAGTTCTCAAGGCACTGTGAGGGTAAGGACTTTGCTGTCTCTAGTTGGGGACACTTAGCAGCTGTGAGCATTTCTAGGTACTTGTTCTTGCAGACAAATGAGGGTAGGCAAAAGAAAGATGAAGCCTTCCTGTTGCTCTTGGTAGTAACCCGGCACATCCACTGGCTGTTTTTGCAGTTCTTTAATTCAGTGCGGCTCTGGGATTTCATCGAGACCCGAGAAAGCCAGCATGTCCCCAACAACGAAGATGTCGACATGACAGAGCTTGGGGACCTGTTCATGCACCTTTCTGGAGTGGAGTCAGCAGAACCCTAAAGAGTAGATGGTCACCCTGCATCTTGGGCTCCATCGGCCAAAACTTTCCCAAGCCAGGGTGTGCAGAGCTTCCCTGTACTGCAGCCAAGGGGGCGTGTGGCTTGGATTTGAGTGGGATTGTGCTTAGCCTTGGTCTCATCCACTCTCCATTATTACAGCTGTGGGTAAGAGTGAAGGATATAAAGTAACCTAGTAAGTGTATGGAATTGCTGTTTTATAGCTGATATAGTTACACCTCACGTCCCTCAGGGGTAACAACTAACCACTCAGGCTGTTTGGACTGACTGCTTTAAAACAAAAACCTGGCTCTTATGGTTGATCTTTTCTCCCCAGAAACAGTAAACTTGCAGCTGCCCCTAATGTGGCAGATTTGTTTTTCTTACCGAAGAATTCAACCCTATAAAAGGATTTCTCTGTAGTGTATTTCTCTAGTATATCTAATGTACGGTCAAGATTTTTACAGAGCTTTCAAGAACACACAATGCAGAGTGAGCCCGGCACAGCTGTTAACATACAACTTTTTTTTAGGGCTTTAAGGATGGTCATTTTTTCGAGTTCTCTCAAGTATCCCAAATCAGGGTGGCGATCTTGTTGCCACATGTGCAGCAAACAAAGTGGAAGTATAAATCTTTTTCTCTCTTCGGGAGGCTCTTGAAGGAGCAGGAGGTACTGTACTGAGTAGCAATCTAGCCCTTCTGTCTGGTTGCAGCCTCCAGCCAGGGCCCTCCAGGGAAACAAAGCCTCTGCCCTCACCTGTGGGTTCATGCCCATCAGGGTAATTGTATTGAGAACTCAAAACACACACACGCACTTACATACTGTGTGGTTCGTACTCAAGCAATCTATTATCTGCAAAGCCTGGCTTTGGTTTGAAATTTTCACAAAATTTCATGGCACCCCAAGGTTTCTGTTTTGATTCTGACCCAGCAGTAGTCCTGAAGAGAGCTGATGGCAAGTTTTGTAGTCATTTTTAGTTGAAGGGTTCGCACAACCTTGTGAACCACCACAAGCTTGTTCTTTTTGTGTGTTTTTAAAAAAGCTGTACATACCAAAAATTTTATAAAACACATTATTTAACATCTTAGCTGAGTTTAGCATACTTTCTGCTTAACTTTTATACTATTCAGTGGAGGGTTACAAAGAGTACAAAAGTTAAATTACAAATTCATTCTCAGTCTAGGCTCTGGGCACATTTCCTGCTGCTTGAATTCTGCCCCTGAAGAGGGTGAACAAATGGGGCGTTCAAGCTGTGAGCTCAGAATTACTTTAAAAGGAGATAGCTATTACAACTAAATTTAATTTATTTTATTAAAATAACATAATTGCGGGACCATCAGATAACTGTATTTTGTCAGGTGCAATAAAAACAATTAAAACCCAAATCATCAAGAAAACCTGTATTCCTGGCTTCCTTGTATACGCATAATACGACTAGAGAAACAAGGCTGTGTTATTAGAGAAACAAGGCTAGCCCTGCGGCCCCGCCCCATAGGGGCAGCTCCTGGAAGACAAAATTCAACATGATGGAAGACTGCTCCCTGAGAGGGCCGAGATGGGGACCGGCTGAGTGCCTTCCCTGGAAAACCATCCCAATGCACTGGACACCTTAGAAGCTGTGAAAGGAGGCCGTGTCCCCTAAGAAAAGTTCCATAGTACCAAAGCAGGCTCTTTCTGGCGGCCAGAGTCTCGGCAGTCCTGGGCTGTTTGGTGCCTTATGTGCAAAATGTCTGGCGCTGCACCACTCTCTGAAGAAAGTCCCGCCTGTGATATGCATTCCTCCAGAAGTTGATTTCCAAAATCCCATGTGTTTCCACATCAGGCTGGACTGCCTGCTACCTTACTTCCTCAAAATACATAGCCAACAGCTGGGCTGGACCCCTGCTTTTTGGATTACCATCAACATCCACTTGCACATCTAGAGAAGGCTGAGCCTTGAGCATGGGGTACATGGGGAAGGAGCAGGACTCACCAGCATTGCAAATGGCTTCCTTCTCCCAGGGCCCAAAGGAGTAGAAAAGAAGGCAACATGAAGTTAAGGCCCTGTGAGCAGTCTAGAAGATCCTTAGCAGCAGCTTCTCTGAAAACATGTGCTCCGCCTCTGGAGAAAGGGAGCAGTAAAGTGGTGCCTGCTGGCTTTTCTTCCTCCCCTGGCAGCCTGAGGGCAGGTGTAAAGTCAACTAGAAGACAGGCAGCCTCGGGGATGTGGTCAGCGTGCAAGCATTGATATCCTCAGTGTGGGCTGCCCGATGCAAGGATGGCTCGGAAGCGCTCCGGTTGATCTTCGGTAGAGAGTGCTGGAGCAGCTCAATGGAAGACAGAATCTGAAACAAAGCCCCAAAATGCTCTCATTAGTTGGGGCTTGGGAGTCCAAAGACACTGGCCATACCCTGCCCCCACCATCTTGTAGAGGACCTGGTTCCCCTCCCTATAAAAACAAAATACTCCCCTTATATTGCCATCTTTAAGAACCAACCCATGCTTTAATCCCATTCTAGCAGCCCTGAGCCTTACCTGGGGAAAAAGAGGCCTCTCTTCCTTTACTTTCTTGACACAGTCAGCTACCAGCCTCTTCATTGCTTTGGGGCAGTTCTTATATAGCTTACTAAGATCTGGGGAGGCATACCCTCGGCCCACCATGAAGATGATCTAAGGGAAAAACAGCTGAGTGAACGAGGGGTGGATGAACAAGAGAAAGTAACAAGTCCTAACCCTCTAGCTGTTTAGGCTGGCAGGAGGCCCAGGAGCTCCCACGAGTCAGGTCCTTTAGCACCAGTACAGACTCACCTGATCTCGGTTGTTAATGTGAGAGTAAGGAAGCTCCCCTGTCATCAGCTCATATAATACGATGCCATAGGAGTAGACATCTGACTGGAAGCTGAATGGGTTGTTATCCTGCATTCGGATCACCTCTGGAGCCTACAGGGAAAAAGTATATTTATCACCATATGACAGGCCCCACAGACATCTATGGGCCAGGCTTCCCTTTCATTAGTTATGAATGAGTCCATTCTTCAGTCCCCACATAGCATTTCCCCAAAGGTCTCCAACTCAGGCACTGGTTAAAATGGCTCAGGAATCCTTGTCTTTAAAGGACCAAGACCCAGCATTTCTATCCCAGCTTATTAAGTCCTCTCCACACTAAGCTTCACAGTGGTTTTGATCAACAGCTTCCTCAAGAAAATCTACAAAAACAAAGCTTCTGGGTATTCCTTTTGCCCCACACCAAAAACTGCTAGTGGGAGCCCAGATTCTCACCATCCACAGAACAGAGCCAGTAGGTTGTTCAACCTGCTGAGAACCACTCCAGCGTGACTTTACTGTTGCCAAACCAAAATCTCCAATTTTCACTGTTAGGCCTTCATGGAGAAATATATCTCAATGCTTGTTAAGGACTCTGGTTTCGAAAGAATGGTCAAATTAATTTTGAAAACCATCCCAAAGTTCTTTATAACATGGTATATCTCTCCACCTTCTCTCTGTTGCAGCCTCTCTGCACTGAATTTCCTAAGGTATATGAAGTTCTTAAAAGTGCTTCTGAAATGTCCCTTCTTCCAGGGGGCAGGCAGGGATTATTCAATGTGCCAGGTTATTTGGCCCCAGCCAAAAAACAAGTCAGTTTTTTTCCCTGCTTCTTTTCTCCATTTCCACATCTAGGTGCTGGGTCCCTGGCTTTGTGACCTTTCCACATAATACGTGTGGGTGAAACTCTAACATGAGGAGCGGAGGCCACACTCCAGTACTCCCCAGAGGGCCAACTATGGCCTGCTGACAGCTTACAGTGGTTTCTGCCTCTGTTCCGCCCTCAAGTCACCATCTGAACCTTGAGTGGTTCACAGAATAGCAAATCCCTTATTGAAGTGTTCAATGTTGTCCTAAGAAATTCCTCATCAGAATTAGTACCACTTGGGTGACTTCAAAATGAAAACCAAAATCAGCTTGCTTCTGGGTAAAGAAGTCATACAGTTTAAGTCTAACTTGTGTGAGAGAAAGAAAAATTGAAGAAAATAAAAAAATTTTAAAAACACTTATGAAGCAACTTATGAGCTGCTGGTGCCCAGGAACTCACACCTCCTTAAATCTGGTGTCTGCTTTCATAGTATCATGTTTGGCTGCTAAAAACCCCACCACTGAAAGGTGTTCCATGCCTCACACAGGTACCTAAAATAGGGCATGTCCTATAATCCAGCTCAACACAATTACCATGCCTCTCACTGCTCAAGAAGCCAAGTGTGGGCTGTAATGCCATCCTTCTAGCACAAGGAAAGGCTGGTGAAGGGTGGCACATTCCAAATTAAATTTCACGCCTTACAGCATTAAAAATACCTTTCTGCATTTACTCTTCTATAAAAACAAGACTTAGAAAGGGAAAAGGATTGTTTCCAACAGTGACCTCTGAGGAACCCACTTACGTACCTTTGAGAAAGACCATTTAATTTATTTATTTGAGACAGAGCCTTGCTCTGTTCCCTAAGCTAGAGTGCAACTGCACGATCTCAGTTCACTGCAACCTCTACCTCCCAGGTTCACGTGATTCTCCTGCCTCAACCTCCTGAGTAGCTGGGATTACAGGCATGTGCCACCACACCCAGCTAATTTTTAAATATAGAGACCGGTTTTGCCACGTTGGCCAGGCTGGTCTCAAACTCCTAGCCTCAAGTGATCCACCTGCCTTGGCCTCCCAAAGTGTTGGGATTATAGGCATTAGCCACCACGCCTGGTCAAGAAAGACCATTTTAAATAGTGATTTTTAGAAACCTTTCAACCTGTGGCTTATAGCTTACTTGCTATCCACCTAACAAGCAGATACACATACATACACTGTCCACAAACTAGAAATAAAGACAAAAGCACAATCCCACTCAGGTTAAATTTAGTAATAGTGTGATAAATTATGCTTATTTTCAAGCTTACAAAAATCTCTCCAAATCACTTTTGCTGAGATAGAAAGGAACCCAAACTAAACATCTCATCAGTCCTGGTGAGGCATATGCTGCTGAGGAGCAAGCCAGGCCTACTAATTTTCTGACTTTTGTGTCTTCTTGTCCTCTGCCTCTTTCCTTAAAATGATATCCCCTGGCACCAAGAGTCACTTGTGATAAAAAGGCTCTATTCTGCTTCCCTAAATTTAGAACTGAGCAGTCAAATGGAACTCAACAACCAAAGGATACTGTTGGATTTCATGTCTCTGTGGATGATGTTCTTTGCATGCAAATAGCTGTGAAGGGAAAAGAAATTATTAAAAATAAGTTTGAGGGGCATGGGTAGAAAGCAGTTTTAAACTACAGCTAATAAGTAAATCCACTGAAGGCCCAGCTCCCAGGAGTGTTACACACAGGGATGGACCCTGTGCTGTTCAGCCTGGTTCATATCAGTGCTTACTTGAAGGTGAGGCCACAGCACAAACATGCTTACACCTTTTTTTTTTTTTTTTGAGACTGGAATGCAGTGGTAGTCATAGCTCACTGCAGCCTTAACTTCCTAGGCTCAAGTGATCCTCCCACTGCAGCCTCCCAAGTAGCTGGAACCACAGGCATGTGCCACCATACCGCCGCCCCCCCTGCTTTTTTTTGTAGATACCAGGTCTTGCAGTGTTGCCCCAAGCTGGTCTTGAAATCCTGGGCTCAAGTGATCCTCTCATATTGGCCTCCCAAAATGCCTGGATTACAGGCATGGGCCACTGTGCCCAGCCATTGCTGACACTTCTTCAAGCATCAATTTTACTCGAAAATAATTCTGATAACCCAATGTCCATAACTGATGAATGAATAATGTGGCAGATCCATACAATGGAATGTTACTCAGACACAGAAAGGAATGAAATAGTGACACATGCTACAACTTGGATTAACCTTGAAAATATTACGCTGAGCCGGGCGCGGTGGCTCAAGCCTGTAATCCCAGCACTTTGGGAGGCCGAGGCGGGTGGATCACGAGGTCGAGAGATCGAGACCAACCTGGTCAACATGGTGAAACCCCGTCTCTACTAAAAATACAAAAAATTAGCTGGGCATGGTGGCACGTGCCTGTAATCCCAGCTACTTAGGAGGCTGAGGCAGGAGAATTGCCTGAACCCAGGAGGCGGAGGTTGCGGTGAGCCGAGATCGCGCCATTGCACTCCAGCCTGGATAACAAGAGTGAAACTCCGTCTCAAAAAAAAAAAAAAAAAAAGAAAATATTACGCTGGGTGAAAGAGCCAGGCATACAGTACCACATCTTCTATATTATATACATTCAAGCATCACTGAATGGCAGGTATACCTTCTGAGAAATGTGTTGTTAGCCAACTTTTCATGCAAATATCATCAAGAGTATTTATACAAACCAAGATGGTGCAGTCTACTGCATACCCTGGCTAAGTGGTAGCCTGTCGCACTTAGGCTACAGACCTGTATGGCCCTCAGTGTACTGAATACTGGAGGCAGTTGTAACATAGTATCTGTGTCTCTAAACATAGCCAAACAGAAAAGGCACAGTAAAAATACAGTATTATAATCTTGTGGGACCACCTTTCTATGTGTGGTCTGTCATTGACCAAAACATCATTATATGGTACTTGACTATATAATATCTCACATGATTCCATTTATATTAAACTGCAAAGTAGGCACAATTCACAGAAACAAAGTAGACTGTAAGTGGGTGGGAGGTATTGGGTGAATGCTAATGGGTATTATCATTTGGATATTTGTCCACTCCAAATCTCATGTTGAAATGTGATCCCCAGTGTTGGAGGTGGGACCTAAGTGTCAGGTGTTTGGGTCATGGGGGCAGATTCCTCATGAATGGCTTGGTGCCCCCCTGCAGTGATGAGTGAGTTCACGTGCTATTAGTTCACATGAAATCTGGTTAGAGTCTGGGACCTCCCTCCATGCTTTCTTGCTCCTTTCTCTTACCACATCATATGTGGCTCCCCTTGCCTTTTGCCATGAGTAAAAGCTTCCTGAGGGCCTCACCAGAAGCAGATGCTGGTGTCATGCTTTTTGTACACTCTGCAGAACCATGAGCCAAATACACCTCTTTTTATAAATTGTCCAGCCACAGGTCTTCCTTTAGAAAAACCCAAACAGACTTATACACCATACATATGTTTCTTTCTGGGATGAAGATGTTCTAAAATTAGATGGTGGTGATGGCTACACAACTCAATACTAGAAAACCACTGAGGTGTACATTTCAAAATATACAGAATGTAACTTCCATACGATTTTAAAGACAATATGAGAATTGTGTAGCACTTGCAAGCACAGCTATAGCTCAGTAGTTCCCAGATGTCTAGAGGTATGAGGAATTCCTCCTCCTCTACCATAAGGGACACTTCAGAGCAGGCGTCCCCAAACTGTGGCCCCCTGAGGCCATTTATCCGGCCCCCCGCCACACTTCAGGAAGGGGCACCTCTTTGATTGGTGGTCAGTGAGAGGAGCACAGTATGTGGCGGCCCTCCAACGATCTGAGGGACAGTGAACTGGCCCCCTGTGTAAAAAGTTTGGGGACACCTGCTTCAGAGGGAAAGCTGGAGAAGCACTACCCTGGGTTAGCTGGGAAAGGCGGGAGGATCACTTGAGGCCAGTTTGAGACCAGCCTGGGCAACATAGTGAGACTCTACAAAATACACAAAAACTAGGTGGGCATGGTAGTGTGTGCCTGCAGTCCCAGCAACCTAGGAGACTGAGGCAAGAGGATCACAGGAGTTCAAGAATACAGTGAGAGCTATGATTGCACCACTGCACTCCAGCATAGGCAACAAAGTGAGACCCTAAGGAAAAAAGTTTTTAATTAAATTATCCTGAAAAATGACATCTGCTTAAATCCTCATGTGGCACAGCCACATCTCAGACAGCTGAGCAGAAGGTACATACCCCCACTATGTTCTCAGATTTTTGGATAAAGTGAGGGTAGCAGGAAGAGCCTGAGTCTGAGTGCCAAGGGGGAAGCTTTGCTTGGGTAAGGAATCTGAACTTTTTTTTTTTTTTGAGACAGAGTCTCGCTCTGCAGCCCAGGCTGAAGTGCAGTAGCATGATCTCAGCTCACTGCAATCTCTGCCTCCTGGATTCAAGCGATTCTCCTGCCTCAGCCTCCTTAGTAGCTAGGATTACAGGCACGTGCCACCACACCTGGTTGATTTTTGTATTTTTAGTAGAGAAAGGATTTTGCCATGTTGGCAAGGCTGGTCTTGAACTCTTGGCCCCAAGTGATCCACTGGCCTTGGCCACCCAAACTGCTGGGATTACAGGCATGAGCCATTCCACCCAGTTAGAACCTGAACAACACATTCCTAATAACTGACCCCTCCAGCCCAGGCCAGAGACTTGTACAAAGATAATCACAGAATCACTTAATGGACTAGAAGGCTTTTCCTGATCTTGGTTCCAATTTACAGACAAATTTGATGCCTGGGTTCCAGAGAGGCATCAGGCCATCTACTCACTCCATTCCCTGAGCCGTCTGCCGGGCAATGTCAATTAGCTGGAACATCTGAAACTTGGTCTCCTGGACATGCAGGTGTTTGTAAAGGCTGCTGCCCTCGCACCACTGGGTCACAATTGCCAGGTTGTCCTTTGTCATGTACCCCATGAAAAGCAGAATGTTCACATGCCGTGTTTTGCTGAGGAGAGAAGAGAGGAAAGTGCTCAGGGAGGTCTACTGTGCTTTCCCGTGGGTTCTGTGCTCTTGACACTACTCCCAGTCCCAACCTGGAGGGGGCTAGAAAAACAAACACATGGCACAGCTGATAACCTGGGTGGCATTCTGAGCAAACAGAGGAGCCCAACATTAGTTCACTAGGCCATCAGTTCAGTGCTGGCCTTGCTTACAGAGAAGACATTCTGTTTCGTCACTGTAAACTCAGGACCCTCCTTGTGGAGGTTACAAGGACTCCTCTGTAGAAGTCTCCATTATATGACATATTCCTAGAAGTCTAAATAGTAACTGAAAGATTTGAAAACTTACTATTCTGAAGTCTAAAATAAGGCAACTCAGCTATAAAGAAGATTCTGGGAAATAAAGATAAATATAGGGCCTATTTCTCCTGCCCACCTCGAACCAAAACCCAGAGATAGAACCTGGGCTATTGAGTTTACTGTGCCCAGAGGAGGGTATTCTCCTGAAAAGGGGCTCTTCGAACGGCCTGACAACCACATAAACTAAAGGAAACATCCCTTTACTCTCAAAGGAGGTGCATCCAACCACAGGAACTCCACTGTGAGTCCTGCCTGCCTGCCAGTCCCAGCCCACGGCACAGCCCACTGACTCTGCAGTCTCTGTACTCCCCACTCCAGAGGGACTGGACTGCCAGCTTTCTACTCACCGCAAAACAGCCACCTCATTCCTGAAGGCCTGGAACTGCTCTGGGGTTGGGTCGACAACCTTTAGGATCTTTACTGCAACATCTCCTGCAAAGTTAGTTGGCAGTCAGTGCAATCAGTTGAATGATCTTACTCTTTCAAATAACCTAGTTTTCAGGAAGATACAGTGACTCACTTATCCAAAGAATCATATACCTACACAGATACAGCAAATCTCAAAATTTCTTTTTTTTTTTAAGACAGGGTCTCACTCTGTTGTCTAGGCTAGAGTGCAGTGGCACACTGCAGCCTCGACCCCCTGGGCTTAAGCAATCCTCCCACCTTGGCCTCCTAAAGTGCCGAGATTATAGGTCCAATTTCTACATTAATTCAAATAACTGAAAAAATTTACATGGGTAAATGCCGTACAGTTACTCCTTCAATAGCTTGGTTAAACTATTCATACCAACCCTGGCAAGCTACAGAGGTGAGATCATATGTGACACGTCAAAACCTTGTCCTGTGGGGATGAAATCAGTACACGGCTATGAATGGCCTGGCAAATACAGAATGACTGCGGCTGGATGCTGGTGTAAGGAAGCAGACCATTTAGCAACTATTGAGGCTGACCTCTGAATCCACATTTCAGTGAGAACTAATATGGTCCCTAGTAAAAATTCAGAGAAATACACTGAAATTAAGCTTCTCTGCCTTCAATACCATTAAAAAAATAATCCTAATACTACTGAATCCTGGCATCGTGTATACTTCTCTGTCTTAATCCTCACATGTGCCCTATGACGTAAATAATTTTATCTTTACTTCACAGATAACAAGCAGAGAAGTTTAGTCACTTGACCAAGGTCAGACTGCAAAAACAAACAAACAAACAAACAAACAAACAAACAAAGAGTGCCGGAGCCAGGGCTGGAACCCCACGTCTGACTCCAATTGATATTCTACCTACAGTACTGACAACTCATTGTCAAGCACTGTGAGTAAAACCAGCCTCTGGATACAACGTTAGACACATCCAGGGATCAGTTCCACTTTAGAGTGCTACAAATTTAAAAGCCACTTTCAAAAGTGTTTCTGGAGCCTCTGTTGAAACATTCGTCCTTTCTTCCTTTTTTTTTGAGATGGAGTCTCGCTCTGTCGCCCAGGCTAGACTGCAGTGGCACGATCTCAGCTCAATGCAACCTCCACAAGCAATTCTCCTGCTTCAGTCTCTTGGGATTATAGGCATGTTCCACTATGCCCAGATAATTTTTGTATTTTTTGGTGGAGATGGGGTTTCACCATGTTGCTCAGGCTGGTCTCAAACTCCTGACCTCAAGTTCTCTGCCCACCTCGGCCTCCCAGAGTGCTGAGCGCACCCAGCCCTCCTCATTTCATTTTTGGGAAGAAAACTGGTAGAGAGATGGTTCTCACAATAAGTCTCAAAATGTCTCTCTATGGTCTCTGGTTTATCATCTGAAGTTTCAATGATGGGTCTCTGTGTTTTAACAGCAGCCTCCAAAGTGGCTCTCATCCAGTTAACCTTCACATGTGACAAAGGCTGGCCAAACCTCCTAAAGGTCTCATACAACCTCAGATCCCATTTAACCCAAATGATCCTCAGTCTTTACAGGACCCTAACAACACTCTCTACCTCTACCTCTCACTCAAACTGAAGCCATAAGATCTCCTTGAGTTCTCGAAACAGGCCAGGTGAGTGGTCCACTTTGCACTTGATGTTGCTGCTTCCCTAGGTATCTGTACCACCCTCACCACCCTCACCCTCTGTGCAAATGCCACTGTCTTGGCAGACTCCTTTCTGACCAATCTACTATTTGGAACTGGGACTGCCACTCCACATCTCCTTTCCTCCATTTTTCTCCTTAACAATTACAGTACACTATATATTCTACTTTTCTTGTTTACTGCCCCCACTAGAATATAAACTCCTTAAGATTTTTTTTTTTTTTTTTTTTTTTTTTTGGAGACAGGGTCTTGTTCTGTTGCCCAGGCTGGAGTGCAGTGGTGTGATCATGGCTCACTGCAGCCTCAATCTCCCTGGCTCAAGTGATCCTCCTGCCTCAGCTGGCACAACACACACACAGTACCACATTCAGCTAATTTATAGAGACAGGGTCTCACTATGTTGTTCTCCTGGGCACAACAGACACACAGTACCACATTCAGCTAATTTACAGAGACAGGGTCTCACTATGTTGTTCAGGCTGGTCTCAAACTCCTGGCCAACAGGGTCTCACCACATTGGCCAGGCTAGTCTCAACTCCTAGCCTCAAATGATCTGCCTGCCTTGGCCTCCCAAAGTGCTGGGATTATAGGAGTGAGCCACCATGCCCGGCCAAAGAGATAGAATTTTTCTATTTTGTTCACTACTTCATTTCCTAGTCCCCAGAAGAATGCCTGGTGTTCAAAGAATGATCAGGAAACACTGGATGAAGAAACGAATGGATTCTAACATAAAACTGTCAGGCAAATTATGAACTGACAAGCTATTTGAGACTCTGGAGTAAGAAGAGAGGACTGGGCCGGGCGCGGTGGCTCAAGCCTGTAATCTCAGCACTTTAGGAGGCCGAGGTGGGTGGATCACGAGGTCAAGAGATCTAGACCATCCTGGTCAACATGGTGAAACCCTGTCTCTACTAAAAATACAAAAAATTAGCTGGGCAGGTGGCGCGTGCCTGTAATCCCAGCTACTCAGGAGGCTGAGGCAGGAGAATTGCCTGAACCCAGGAGGCGGAGGTTGCAGTGAGCTGAGATCGCGCCATTGCACTCCAGCCTGGGTAACCAGAGCGAAACTCCGTCTCAAAAAAAAAAAAGAGAGAGGACCTGGCCTCTGACGGGAAATACTGGGGACTTAGTTGTCTGTATAAGTCAAGAAACAGTTTATGGCAGGGGAATTCAGAACCCAATGTCCAGCATGACATCCCCAGGCCTTGCTACATCCCAGGTCTATGGAATTAGGGCTGGACCCAAAACAAAGGCAGCTCGTCAGCCTGGCCCCGGCAGTTCTTGGGCATTTCCAAGTCCACTTTTCCAGCACTCCATGCAGTAGGTGTCCAATGCTGCTTCCCATTCTTTCTCTCCTTTCAAACCCATTTCTCAGATGAGTACAAAACTGTACATTAATACTTCATTTTTTTCCTTCGGCAATTATCCATATACTCTTGTAGCTAGCAATCCTTCAGCATACTTATGAATCCTTCATACTTACAAACCTTGGCAAGTAATATAAATCACCAAATGGCTAGGTAACTTTTTATGTAGGGTAGTTTATGAAGTCATTATTATACATCAAGCCAGAATTTCTTATTTTCCCTTAATAGCAAAGTCAGAGGCAAATATAATTTGAAATGTTTTTACCTTTTAAACACAAAGTCATTTTTCTGCTTTAACCATTTGGGATTGTCTAAACTTACTATATACATCTCTGCTTTCTGAAACAGAACAGAATGAGCACCATTCCTTCTGATTTTGTTGACATGTCACTGTTACAAACCGCAGTCACTGCCCTCAGCTGAGATGAGGCTCTCCAGATGTAGGTTATACCAAGCTGTTTGTCCTACTAAGTAGCCAAAAACTGTTCCTGTCACGTTTGTGAATCTGTTCAAGGGGTTTTCTGCTTTATCCTTTCAGTGATTATTCCTGCTGCCATCATTTGATAGCCTCTGATGCTGGCTTTATCCATTTAATGTGTTTGTAATTAGCAAAGGCTGGTGAATCTCATGCCAAATTTGTTTATTTATTTATTTATTTATTTTTTGAGACGGAGTTTCGCTCTTGTTACCCAGGCTGGAGTGCAATAGCGCGATCTCGGCTCACCGCAACCTCCGCCTCCTGGGTTCAGGCAATTCTCCTGCCTCAGCCTGCTGAGTAGCTGGGATTACAGGCACGTGCCACCATGCCCAGCTATTTTTTTTGTACTTTTAGTAGAGACGGGGTTTCACCATGTTTAACAGGATAGTCTCGATCTTTTGACCTCGTGATCCACCTGCCTCAGCCTCCCAAAGTGCTGGAATTACAGGCTTGAGCCACCGCGCCCAGCCAAATTTGATTATTTTTATTTTTTTGAGACAGAGTCTCGCTCTGTCGCCCAGACTACAGTGCAGTGGGGGTGATCTTGGCTTACTGCAGCCTCCACCTCCTAGGTTCAAGTGATTCTCCTGCCTCAGCCTCCCAAATGCTGGGATTACAGACACCCACGACCACGCCCAGCTAATTTTTGTATTTTTAGTAGAAATGGAGTTTCACCATGTTGGCGAGGCTGCTCTTGAACTCCTGACCTCAAGTGATCTGCCTGCCTCAGCCTTCCAAAGTGCTAGGATTACAGCTGCACCCAGTCTTGGTGCCAAATTTAATGCTCAAAAGGAGGTTGTGAGCTTTGGGCCTGAAAGACTCTGCTTTAAATAAATAAATATGTGAGTTTTAGTTCATGCATCTGAGGCCTCTGAGTTGCTTTGAAACCCCTTCTGCTTTATTTCCACAGTGGGTGGGCTGAGTTAAAAAAAATCTTCAATCAAAATCATGAAAACAATTGTAATTATTTTTTTGACATGGAGTTTCGCTCTTGTTGCCCAATGGCGCAATCTCAGCTCACTGCAACCTCTGCCTCCTGGGTTCAAGCAATTCTTCTGCCTCAGCCTCCTGAGGAGCTGGGATTACAACCAAGCACCACCACCATGCCCAACTAATTTTTTTTTTTTTTTAAAGTAGAGACAGGGTTTCTCCATGTTGGTCAGGCTGGTCTCCAACTCCCAGCCTCAGGTGATCCGCCTGCCTGGGCTGGGATTACAGGCACTTAAAAATTACAGTTGTAATTTTTAACACACTTAACAGGACATTACATTGTATACAGGAACCAGAACGGAGTGGGGGGAGGTTGCGCGGGGACGGCGGACGGCCGTATTGCACAAAACAATCTAGAAATTAGTTCTCCTTGACCACTCATCTTTCTTCTTCATTCATAGACCAGGGCTTGCTTTCTGAAACAATGGCATAAAAGTCCACTGCTCCTCACTCCTCTGACTTTTGAGACTCTTTTTTGAGTTAAAAAAAAAAAAAAAAAAAAAAGAAAGAAAAAAAAAAAACTAGAATCTTAAACATTAGACAAGTTATCTACATTCTAATAGTAGTCTTTATGGAATAACACTGTAACAACCTTATCACAGTTTGAAAGCTCATACTATTTAGAGAAGACAAAGCTCATAAGCAGTACCCTGCACTAATGCCTTGAAAAATTACGAATCCCCACATAAAAGTGCTCAACCAGAGGAAAATTTAACTTGGGTACAACTTAAACTTCATCTATTGGCTTTTAGCTGGGGCTTTTAAAATGTGGTATAAAAATGATCAAATGCTAATGGAAGCAATAGATGGAATATCCATTGCTCTGCCTCCTACAATTATTAGCAGCCTTGTTATCTCAGATACAAGTACTCTATTCCCACAAAATGCTTGTGTTCTTTCCTAAGGAATCCTGGAGATATTTATGCCATCTAAATATTCTGCAACTGGCTGGGCATGGCGGCTTAACTCTGTAATCCCAGTACTCTGGGAGGCCAAGGCAGGCAGATTGCTTGAGCTAATGAGTTCGAGACTAGCTGAGCAACAAGGAAAAACCCCATCACTGCAAAAAATAAAAAATTAGCTGGGCGTGGTGGCACGTGCCTGTATTCCCAGCTACTTGGGAGGCAGAGGCAGGAGGATGTATAGCTTAAGCCCAGAAGGCAGAGACTGAAGTAAGCCAAGATTGTACCACTATACTCCAGTCTGAGCAATAAAGCCAGATCTTGTCTCTAAATACATATAAATAAACATTCTAGGCCGGGCGCGGTAGCTCAAGCCTGTAATCTCAGCACTTTGGGAGGCCGAGGCGGGTGGACCACGAGGTCAAGAGACCGAGACCATCCTGGTCAACATGGTGAAATCCCGTCTTTACTAAAAATACAAAAAATTAGCTGGGCATGGTGGTGTGTGCCTGTAATCCCAGCTACTCAGGAGGCTGAGGCAGAAGAATTGCCTGAACCCAGGAGGCGGAGGTTGCAGTGAGCCAAGATCGCGCCCAGCCTGGGTAACATGAGTGAAACTCTGTCTCAAAAATAAATAAATAAATAAATTTTCTACACCAGTGTCATTTCTCTGGGACCCAGGAGACAGCCCAATAGTACAGATTAGATGCAATTTTTTTTTTTTTTTTGAGACACTGTTACCCAGGCTGGAGTATAGTAGTATATATTCGCTGTACTCAGCTCACTGCAACCTTGTCTCCTGAGCTCAAGCAGTCTTTCTGCCTCAGCCTGCCGAGTAGCTGGGACTGTAGGCAAGTGCCCTCACATCCATCTAATTTTTGGTAGAGATGGGGTTTCATGATGTTGTTCAGGCTGTTCTCGAACTCCTAGGATCATGTGATCTGCCTGCTACAGCCTCCCAAAGTGCTGGGATTACAGGCCATGAGCCACCCCGCCCAACCAGATGCAGTTTTCAAAGGGAAAGGAATCATTCTACATGTACGTTACAAATGTTCAGTCAGGTGCCAATCCTCTTAAAGAACCAGAAATTGGTCAGATGGTTAATTACAAATGGTAAAAACACCTGCATTAATGAGCCCATGGTAAGGCCAGGCATAGTGGCTCATGCCTGTAATCCCAGCATTTTGGAAGACCCAAGAGGACTGCTTGAGTCCAGGAGCTGGAGACCAGCCTGGGCAATACAGTAAGACCTTGTTGCTACAAAAAACCAAAAAAAATTAGCTGGGCATTCACTTGTGGTGCCAGCTACTTGGGAGGCTTAGGAAGGAGAATTGTTTGAGCCCACGAGTTGGAGGCTGCAGTGCGCCGTGATTGTGCCATTGTACTCCAGCCTGGGCAATAGAGCAAGAACTTATTTAAAAAAAAACCACACAAAAACACCAGGTACCCAAAACTGGAAGCGTTTTATACCTCCCCTCCCCACCACCAGACAGAGTCACTCTGTCACCCAGGCTGGAGGACAGTGGTGGGAATCTCAGCTCACTGTAACTTCTGCTGCCCAGGTCAAGCAATTCTCCTGCCTCAGCCTCTTGAGTAGCTGGGATTACAGGCACCTGCCACCATGCCAGCTAATTTTTGTAGTTTTAGTAGAGATGGCTTTTCACCATCTTGGCCAGGGTGGTCTTGAACTCCTGACCTTGTGATCCACCCACCTCAGTCTCCCAAAGTGCTGGGAATACAGGTGTGAGCCACCACACCTGGCCATGTTTGATATTTTCAGTACCTTGAATTTTAATACTCTATTCATTTGATGCTTATAACTGCTTTCAATCTTTGTACATTTATCTCCGAAGATAATTACAGTGTCATCCAAAGGAGAAATACAGGCACCAAGGGACTTTGGGATTTTACTTTACTGTAATCTGAATTTAGAAGAAATCACTTTTTGGGAACATGCAGCATTTTCAAGAAAATACGTATTATTTGCTAAAGTCCTAAAGCAAGAGGCATTAAAAACCTACCAGAGAAATGCTAAGTATGTTGTCAAAATGTTGAGTGTTGCCAAAATACACAAGCTGGAACTACAGAAGTTAAATAGTACGTTTCTTCCAAGTGACAAAGTGTTTCCATTAAATTAAGAACACTAATATTCCACAGATTCAAGAATTAAGTCTATATGCCTTCCCTGTTTGATAGGGATACCCACAACTAATCCTAGGACAGGACAAAAAGAAGTTATTTCAGGAGATTTCCAGCTTTTTATGCCTAATTGCATGAGCATGGGCAAATCAGCCCCCATTTCAATATGTAAGGTCCTTTCCAGCTTGACGTTTCTAGCACCCATGTTCCTGCCATAACAGTAGACTCCTGCTCACTTAAGGAGCTTCCAAGCGTAAGTCATGTGCAGACTGTATTTAATCAGAAGCACTCCTGACATTTGAATATAGGGCTCAAGTCTTACTCACTAATTTCTAATTTTCCTGGGAGCTTTATAAGAACTTAGTTTAAAAACATTTAAGTTCAATCTTCAGGTATAACCAAGTATCTAAGGGAGAATACTGCTGTAAACCCAGGAGCACACAGAGTCTTCTCCTTCTCCTGGCCCTCTGGACTGAAACTTGACTTCACACCAAAGCCCTGCAGTAAGTAAAGGGAGGGCCCCAAGCTTACCATGCCATTTGCCCTTATAAACAGTTCCAAAAGAGCCTGACCCAATCCGAGTGGAGAGCATCACTTCACTGGCTTCTATTTCCCAGTAATAGCTTGAATCTCTCTGTCCACGAGGTCTCTGAAACAAGTACAGATCATTATTATACTCCACAGAATGGTGGTAATCTTTTGAAAATGAAGGCATCAAAGAAAGGATCAACTCATGTCATGTTTCCATATCTTTTAAAGATAAACATATTAACTATACTTCCAATTTTTGTCTTTTGAGAAATACCATTATAGTTATAGTACTGGCAAGCTGTCTGATCCAAGTGTGCCGAAAATGACAGTGACATTTATAATCTCCTTCATAAAATGTATTTTATTAGAATCCTCTCCCAAAGTAAGTTAAAAGTATTCTAGTTTCCAACAAGGTTTTTCTTATTGAACTCTAATTAGCAGAAGGTACTGTTGTCTATACTTACAATTTTGTTTTTCTCCTGGGTTCCAGATCCTGGTGCCCGCTCCCTTTGTGCTGGCAAGGGGGTTTTGGGCTGTGACCAGCCTGTTGGGCTCAGATTGTTGGGGCTACTGGACAGGGCTGAAGGTGAGGCTTAACAGACAAGACAAACAGAATCCACACAAGGATAAGCCAACAGAAGATACACCATATAAAGAAAAAAAGCCCATCACCAGTGGATAAATTACTATGGAAAAGTACCTGATTCGCTGTGACTTCGAATTGCATCCTGCAACAGAAAAGGAAAGCTGGTCAACTCCTACACACAGAAGATTTTCTCTAGGGGAGGGAAAAGAAAGGAGGAGGATGTGCAAGAACAAAATAGATTATAAAACCTCTAAAAACCATAAAAATCCTATACATACTCTAATCAACATTCCTTGATTAAATTCAGCAAATATCAGTGGCTAGTATCTCCAAGGCTGGTTTTTCATCAAATATTAGATGAATTGATATTATTATTATTATTATTTTTTTTAAGATGGAGTCTTGTTCTGTGGCCCAGGCTGGAGTGCAGTGGCACGACATCAGCTCACTGCAACCTCCAACTCCCAGGTTCAAGCAATTCTCCTGCCTCAGTCTCCTGAGTAGCCGGGATTACAGGCGGGCACCACCACACCCAGCTAATTTTTATATTTTTTAGTAGAGATGGGGTTTTTGCCACATTGGCCAGGCTGGTCTCAAACTCCTAGCCTGAGGTGATCTACCTGCCTCGGTCTCTCAAAGTGCTGGCATTAGAGGCTGAGCCACTGTGCCCAGCTTGGTATTCATTTTTCATATATAATGAAAACTACATTCTTTTTCTGAAGAGAAAGCAACGTACACAACAAACATACTCTTTCAAAGAAAACTAGCAAAGTTATTCTCAGTTAAGGCCCTTCCAAAGATTGGTCATCTTGTTTCACTGAGGCTCAAAATTTTTTTTTTTTTTTTTTTGAGACGAAGTTTCGCTCTGGTTACCCAGGCTGGAGTGCAATGGCGCGATCTCGGCTCACCACAACCTCTGCCTCCTGGGTTCAGGCAATTCTCCTGCCTCAGCCTCCTGAGTAGCTGGGACTACAGGCACGTGCCACCATGTCCAGCTAATTTTTTGCACCTTTAGTAGAGATGGGGTTTCACCATGTTGACCAGGATGGTCTCGATCTCTTGACCTCGTGATCCACCCGCCTCGGCCTCCCAAAGTGCTGAGATTACAGGCTTGAGCCACTGCGCCCGGCGGCTCAAAACTTTTTTAAAAGGTGGGGTGGGGAGGTGGATTCTGGGGGAAGCTCACTTTTCCTCCACGAGGAGTTAGGGTAAATTGACTAGAAGTTGGATTTGAAAAAGGTAAGCACCATTACTACATACTTTATCCAAGGCTAAAATCATAGAAAGCTGGAAAGACCACAAATCCAAGTTCAAAACCTACATTTTACATGTAAGAAAATACATCTGCACAGGTTAAGACACCCGGCAGGGTCACAGAGCCAGTAGGTGACAGAAATGGAACCAAAAACCATCAAACATGGATCTCAGCCCTAGCTCTTTTACCACAAAACACTGCCTTATGGGTAAATTTGGAAATTGGTTACATTCTTCTCATGGGAGAAAGTAAAGGCTATCTTTAGAATTTATTAGTAACTGGAAAACAGTAATCACAGAGGCCTCCATAAGACCTAAACCCCAATCTAAAATTCATCACTTGGAGTAGAATAGTGTAATAGAATAATATAAAACCACCTGACCCCCCCATATCCTCAGAAAGGACATTTTGGGGAGGGAAGTCCTACTCTTTTCTTTGTGTAACCACAGTACAGACAAGATACCTGTTCCACACAACTATTACTAGAATGCTCCTATTCAATTCTATCATTACAAGATAAAAACAATCAAACGAACCTGTTCCCCTGCTCCCAAAACATAATTCAGAATTTAACGAAAAAGCCTAATTCTGATTCTGGAAAGAAGAATTAAGATTCACCCCCTAACCCCCGGCCTAGGATTGGATTGAGCATGTTTGGGAGATGAAGGTGGGAAGCCCAGGAATCTGTGTGTTTTTAAGTACAGCAAGATAAATGCCAAGTGGGCAAAATAGTGGCAAAAAATAATGTGGATTTCAATAGAAATCAGCAGCTGTAGCCTTCATTACTCAACTAGTCTGTCCTTTGTTTTTAAAGCAAAGCACAATTTATTTCTATTAACCATAACTATATTCCTATGTAGTAGGATTTTTTCCTTAATGTCATAGTAATTTTCTTCCCTATATCCATTAAATTTCGCATATTTTATTCCATGCTAATTTCTATGGTTGGATCAATTTATCCCAGAAAGAATTTTTCTATTGTTCCTGGAATCTAAATACTCAAGAGAACTATGAATAATTTGAGAACTACAAATAATTTAAATAAATAAAGCAACAATGTCTACTTTAAAAATGCTGACTCATGTGATTAAATAACAGGAATCAAAATCTACTCTGCTTCTAAAGTACAAAAAGGATTAGGAACAACAGTTGTGCTAATTCTTTTATAATAAAAAATCCAAAATTTTGACTTGACACAATCATAGCTCATTACAACCTCAAACTCCTGGGTTCAAGCAACCCTTCTGCCCCAGCTTCCTGAGTAGCTAGGACTGCAGGTGCACACCACCAAGCTCAGCTAATTTTTATTTTTATTTTTGTAGAGGTGGGGTTTCACTATATATAGCCCAGGCTGGTCTCAACTCCTCATCGCAAGTGATCTTCCCACCTAGCCAATTCTCACCTTTATTGTTCCCTCTTAGTATTACAGTGTTTACACAGGAACAAACCATTTAACAGAAGTAGCAGTAACTGGTATATTATTATATTATCAGGACTAATCATAATGGTAAAACTGAAATAAAATTTACAGCTTATACATGACCTCCTCACAACAGTGGCAGGAAAGTATTCTGAAAGTGATTTGAGGTTTCGGTGAGATAAATTGTGCCTGAGGCAGCAGGTGTCTATTTGATGCAGAAAGAGCATAGTTATCTCTGATAAGCTTTTAATAAAGAATTTTCCAGGGTTTATCAACCAAACTGACACATTGGGCTACTAATATATAAATAGAATATCAATGCTGTGAGCACCAACTAAGCAAGTCTAACATTAGTCCTTGGTTGGAACTGATTTTTTAAAAAAATATTTTTAATGCCCTTGGCCTCAAAATCTAACTTGAGATTTTTTGTTTATTTTTAAGGTGGATTCTTACTATGCTGCCCCAGTTGGAGAGCAGTGGCTATTTACAGGCACAATCGTAGCTCCCTACAGCCTAGAACTTCTGAGCTCCAGTGATCCTTCTGCCTTAGCCTCTGGAGTGGCTGGGGCAACAGGCATATACCGCCATGCCTGGCCTAACTTAAGAAATTCATTTCACCTATCATCAATACCACATACAGCATTTTTTTTTTATTTCTATATACTCTATTGGAAAGAAGAAAAAGGGAAAGAAGGAAAGAGAGAGAGAGAGAACATGGAAACAAGTGACAATATAAATTTAACTTAGCAACTATTTCATTTTTGGTAGTTTACTGTCTGACAGTTTTAGCAATCCTGTTAATTACAAGAAAGCAAAGGCATGAAGAAAAATACCTACTCTTCCCCTCAAACAAAATCGTCTGGACCACGCCCTGGGAGAAGCATTCAGGTTGTTATTCTAGTCCAAAGCAATGAGAAATAAAGAAGAATAAAGAACAAAGGAAGTATTTAAGTGTATTCAGTTGTTATTAAAGATGAAGCAGAAAGCAAATTAAACCAATAGGACATAACCAAAAGCCAAGAAAAGAAAAAGCAGTTCAAAAACACTAGCTCTGGGCACTTTTACATCTCCCTAAATATCTGCTTATTAAAGTCCTAGGACTCCACCCTTTCATTTCTAAATAAAATCACAAAAGTCTTCCAGAGAACCTGTAGTTCTCCGTCACTGTTATTTTCTGTCCCACACCAAAATGAACTCCTTAAATATCTTAGGCACTCATTCATTAAAAGCCTATTCAAATATGATATAGGAAGAGTTCAAATGTTAACATTTTTTCAGGAAATTTTAGTTCTCCACTTGAACGATATACTAACCAGACTATTCAGCCAGTCTAAAGATATTATGGATATAAAAAAAAACTGTTAAAACTCCAGAGACCTGAGAAAGTGCTGCAACATTCCTTGATCAGGTTTGAAACCCAAAACTCTATGAAATAAATACCAACCTCACTACATTAATTGACTGACATTATCACTCCCAAGGGGCCCTATTACCTCAATCATCCTGCTGTCCACAGGCAGGGTGGTGCTGACCATATGGACATTAGGTGTAGACGTCGACCTCTGCCTCTGGGAGAGGGAACCTTCAGATGAGGGACTGGAGGTGTTAAAGGTGAAGGCGTGAGGTGTAGAATATCTGTGCTGAGAACTAGGCAAGGAGGAGAAAGAAAATTCCATGATTCGCATTTAGGCTTTCATACTGGTAAAGTCCTTCAACCAACCTACTTGATTAAGATGCTTAAGGGCAAACTCTACTTCGTACAACCTTTGACAAAATGTTTGATTCTTTCAAATACGTGGCATCTAAAAATTATCTTAAGTCTAGGTGCTTTTGCACACAAAATTTCGAACAGGATATAATATATGCATTGGAAATTCAATGAAATGAGAATGCACTGTAGGTTTTCCTATTTTAAATAAAGCACCACTCTGAATACTCCAAATTTTTACATCACCAGAAAAGAACAGATTAACATTTGCCAACCATACTACCACCTATTAAGCTAGTTGGAACTTGCCCAGTTTAATTTAGAGACTAAATTTGAGAACTTTAAGATTTTAAACAGATGGGTAGACGTGCTGAGCATGTCTGCCAAAAGGCCAGGATTTTACTGTTTGTCCTTTCCTACTACAACCAGCAAACAAAGTAACTTAATGGGAATTCTGTTATTAGATGGAAATACCTAAATATGAAATTAATCACTGGCCTCTTCCAGCCAACACCACCCACCCACCAACCAAACTAGGAACACACATTAAGAAGTATAACGTTTTCATTATTTGCTCTAAAGATTAGTTTGAGGTTTGTTCAGATTCAGGTAATACCCATGTAGGAATTAAAGGGATAAAAGGCCAGCTTTTCTAAGGGAAATTGTTCTATTGTCTTGAAAAATTGGCTTCCCACATAATTCTCTGTTTATGAGGCCTGGTTTCTTCTAATCTTCAGAGGTAAGTACAAACTTTTGGTCAGACTTGCTTTTCAAATTATCAAGAAAAATAAAAGCCACATACCAATATATATCCAGATATATACAAATTCCTTATTCTAAGATATGCTGCCTTTACCATTTCCATGGTAGTTTCACATTAAATGTTATCGGATTATGCATACATTAAAGTGAGAGTGAGAGAGAAAGAGAGAGATTGAGAGATTTTTTGGGGGGGCAGGCGGGCGCGGATGGAGTCTTGCTCTATCGCCCAGGCTGGAGTGCTGTGGCATAATCTCAGCTCACTGCCAACTGGGTTCAAGTCATTCTCCTGCTTCAGCTTCCCAAATAGCTGGGCCAACAGGTACGTATCACCATACCCACCAAGTTTTTTGTATTTTTAATAGAGATGGGGTTTCACCATGTTGGTCACGCTAGTCTGGAACTCCTGACCTCAAATGATCCACCCACCTCAGCCTCCCTAAGTGCTGAGATTACAGGTGTGAGTCACCACCCCTGGCCTAAAGTAAAATATTTTGGACGTAGATTTTACTTTAAGCTTCAAATTCATATGTAAAACTGAGCAATATGTGAACTCAACAAAACTAATTGTAAAGCTGGAAAACAGTAAAGAAAGACAAGTTACATGCAAACTCTGAGACATAGCAGAAACAATATGCTGAAAATCAAATTGTTTTCTAAGACACTAGTCTATATAAATACATGGTTTTAGCAAATGCAAGGCCATAATATGCATTTTACTGTTAAGGGTTTTATTTTTACTTGAATCTCTGTATTAAGTTTTGGGACCCTTTCCATCGAGGTTGAACTCAGTATACAATGAGGAAAGCAAAATCTCAAGCTCTTTAAAATGTAATGGTATATTAAGGAATATGCTATCACAGAAGAAGCTATAGCCAGTCACTTTCCAGAATGTAAGACCTGCAGGTCCACAAAGAGAAACTTCTACATTTTGTTGTACCACCAGTATCAAGTTCCAAAGAAACAGAAAGGGGTTTCCACATTGAGGGGAGGGAATGTGAACAAACTCTTGTTTTTTGTCTTTAAGCTTCTAACCCCTGCCCCCTGCCACCCACCAATAACTTTCTAAGAGAAAAGCTATAGGTAAAAAATTACCTAACAGGCATCCGGGTAACAGACTCTCGCATACGACGCATAGTCAAAGAAGGTAGTGCTGGGACTCCACTATCACCAATAGTGGAATTTGGAAACAATCTAAATGAAAGCAGGGAAAGACTGGTTTTTAGAGCTACAGTAATCTTACAGAGACAATCAGCATGCCTTGCTTTTGGAAACTCATAGCTATTCAAACTGAAGTTTCCCCAGTCACATTTTCCTCAACTGTTTTAAGTTACCTAGAGTAAAAGGAACAACATTCCAAATAACTGGGTTTGAAGGATTATTAAACGTGAATAATACTGACCTGCCAATAAACATACAGTCTCCAGTGTACATTTCTTTTTCTTTTTTTTTGAGATGGAGTCTTGCTCTGTTGCCCAGGCTGGAGCGCAATGGCGCATACTCGGCTCACTGCAACCTCCACCTCCCAGGTTCTCCTGCTTCAGCCTCCCAAGCACCTGGGGTTACAGATGCACACCACCACATCCAGCTAATATTTGTATTTTTAGTAGACATGGGGTTTCACTATGTTGGCCAAGCTGCTCTTGAACTCCTGACCTCAGCTGATCCACTCACCTCAGCCTCCCTAAGTGCTAGGATTACAGGCATGAGCCACCATGCCTGCCCCAGTGTGCATTTCTAGGAAATACTGGTCCTAACTAGCTGTATCAAAATAATGTTTTTCAAAAAAAAAATAATAATGTTTTTCAGACTACACAGCATTTTACAAACTATGTCACATAGTGCTTTTCCGGAAACATTTCATCTTGGAAATACATAGATAAAAAGAGTAAAATAGGAGGAATAAATCACAGAAAAGTGAGTAATTCGGCACCTTCTTTCCATGAGCTAGGCACTTGTGCTTAGTAAATTTCACAGGTTATGTCAGCAAGCCTCACAAAAACAACGCAATGAAGGTAATATCCCCTTTATTCAGACGCGTGAATGAAAACTCAGATGTGGCTATGGTTAATAACAACACTGAGATTTTGATATATGTTTGTTGTACTCAAAAGCTTGTGCTGCTGGGTGCGGTGGCTCAAGCCTGTAACCGCAACACTTTGGAAGGCCAAAGTGGTCAGATTGTTTGAGCTCAGGTGTTCGAGAACAGCCCAGATAACACAATGAAACCCCGTTTCTACAAAAAATACAAAAGTTAGCTAGGCATGGTGAAATACACCTGTAGTCTCAGCTACTAAGGAGACTGAGGTAAGAGGATTACTTGAACCCAAGAGGTCAAGGCTATAGTGAGCTATGATCATGCCACTGGAGTAAGACCCTGTTCTTTTTTTTTTTTAAAGGACAAAATTAAGACAAATAAAAAAAGGTTGTGCCTGACATTTGTGCTACTCAAGCTCTCATTACAAAATCAATATGTGAGTAACCACAAAAGCAAAAAAGATGTTTCCATCATGGTCTCATAACACTCCCTTGGTTTCTCTAGTACTGTCAAAAAGGACAAAACTTTAAATTTTTCATACTCCTGGTGACAGTTTTTAAAAGGCAGTTTGGACCATGTACTTTAAATTCTTTAATAATATTTTGCCTATATGAAATATATATTGTGTCCCGACAGAAACAAGAATCTTTCAAGATTTTATATTCAAACAATTTTAAGTCCAAACAACTTAAGTTTTCTCCAGTTTGGAGTTCAGAAAACAGGATCAACTGCGCTTTCTGCTCCTTCTCAATGTTAAAGACTTGTTCAGCATAGGCAACAAAATACAAAGCAGTGTCTACTAGCAACCTAGTATATGATACTATTAAGAGAGAAAAGCAAAAAATCTCATTTTCATATCCTTTTGTTTCTTTCCTTACTGAATCATAGTCACAGTATGTCAATCTCAATTTGACAGACAAGTCCTATTCCTACCTGCTCATTTTGGAGTATTAATGCCACCAAACCAAGCTAGTTTCAGAATTATCTGTTTCTAAAGTAGATAGTTTCTGGATCACAATTCAGTAAATGAATCTAGAATCCAGACCTGTCAGTCAAAATCTACAACAAATATCCTTTAAAGTATTTATATTCCTTATCCCTATATTACTTGAGAAAAGGAACAATGCCTTACAAGAGTTGTCTGATATTACTCCAGTCCACACACATAGTAGGTACTTTGGTGCTACAGTGCTCATGAAATTTGTAGCCACAAGTCTGACATCGAAATCCATTGAGCAGGAATTTCTGACAGATGTCACAGAAGGCAAGCTTCAGGAACGTCTTCCGAGCCTACAACAAGAACACAGGTGTAAATTATGCTGAATAAATAAAAGACGACAAAGACAAAGTCATTTTCTTCCTTGGCCACCAAAAGAGTTTTTACAAAATGAATCATACTTCCAACATTTACAGAATTCATAATCACAAATTATATCTCTGACTAAGGCAATGAAATCTAAATTGCCTTACTGTAAACAATGGCATAAAGAGTCTTAAATAATCCAAATATATATACATATACACATATGCCTATTACCTGAGAAATTTCTGTTTGGCCTGGCAAAGCCCTCAACATACTAGAAAGAGAGATCTGCAACTTACAAAGTTGTGTGTTGTGAGGGGAACATGATCCAGGAAATCTACTTGAAGTTCTTCTCCAATCAAAGAGGCAGCATCAGTATTCCAATCTAAGCGTGCTTTTTTACTAAAAAGGATTAAAAAAAACATGAAAGGGAAATGTTTAAACAAGGTAAGAGTTCAATACAAATAACTGCTACCATTTATCACATGCTATAAACACAACTTTATATAGCTTTATATAGCCATAAAACAATAATCTATTTAATTTATTCAACAAACCTATGAAATAGGTATTATTATTCCTATATGAAAAAAATAGGAAAACTGGGACTCTAAGAAGGTAACTTGCTGAAGGCCACACAGCAAGTATAATGGCCTGCGTTGGAATCCAGGTCTGTTGAACTCCAAAGCCCATGTTCTTAGAATAAAGCTTTCTCTTTATTTATTTAAAACATTTTTTGAGGGGTAGAGACAGAGCCTTGCTGTGTTGCCCAGGCTGGTCTTGAATTCCTGGCCTCAAGTGGTTCTCCTGCGTCAGCCTCCCAAAGTGCTGGAATTACAGGCGTGAAACACCATGTCTGGCCATGTTATATTTAAACAATGATATATAACAATCTCACGATAAAGTCAATATATTTTACATTGAAATTTGTAACATTAAAATCTTTCAAAAATTCCCAAATCCTGTCAAATGGATTATAAATATTGCTGCAGTATAAAATTTAGTCTTCAACAATCTATTTCAATCTAGATAAATAGAAAGGAACCACAAATGAAATGTACTTTTCTATTAATTAATAAAAGACTCAAATCTGTAGTTGTAGGGTCTATAAGTTAATGACAGACTTAACTGTCTTAAAATCTACTCTGAAACCACACCTTCTGTGCCCACAGTATAAATAAGAGGAAAAATAGATACATATAAAAATTGGCCGGGCGCGGTGGCTCAAGCCTGTAATCCCAGCACTTTGGGAGGCCGAGGCGGGTGGATCACGAGGTCAAGAGATCGAGACCATCCTGGTCAACATGGTGAAACCCTGTCTCTACTAAAAATACTAAAAAAAATTAGCTGGGCATGGTGGCGCGTGCCTGTAATCCCAGCTACTCAGGAGGCTGAGGCAGGAGAATTGCCTGAACCCAGGAGGCGGAGGTTGCGGTGAGCCGAGATCGCGCCATTGCACTCCAGCCTGGGCAACAAGAGCGAAACTCCGTCTAAAAAAAAAAAAAAAAAAAAAAAAAATTAATGCCCAATTCCATTCTCATGTCTTATCCAGTTAATCTGGCCCATTTCCCAAAGGAAGAATATTCTCAGGTAAAGAGAGAATAACATGTATAGCACCATTTTAAGCCTCTCCATCATCTACCAGAAGACTAGTCATGCCATTTTTCTCCCTATCCAACAGTAACTAATATACTCCTTAATATAATTACCTACACAGCATATGGGAAACTCCCTATAACTACAAAGGACGATTTTGCCCTTGAGAAAACAGGGAGGAGAAGCCTTATTTTCTTATCAGTCTGCAGACTGATCCTAGTGACAATCTGCTGTCTGTCCTAGAGAGACCCCAGAGTAGCTCCAAACAAGTGCAGCCTTGGATGAGAGTAGACCAAACCCTCCTTGTCTCAGAATCTCTCTAGTCCTTAAGGAGCACTATCAATTGGCTTAGGGACCCAACCTGCGCTACACTCAGCAAAAGTTAACATCTGCTTCAAAGATTTGCACATCAAAAACGCCTCCTAAATTGAGAATTATGCTCACCCCTTTCAGTAGATTCATTCCCTGAGCTATTTGAACTCTTTGAAACATGAAAAATGTAAGCTAAAGATGAATAACACAAGTGACATTTTGTAAGAAGAGGGTAAAAAAGAACCCTTTAAAGGTTTCCTTACATTTTAGGGGTAGAGGGAATAGTGGATAATGGATAACTATGGACAGCTCTGCTGCTTTGAGGTACTGCTCCTAGCCTTTGTGGGGATGCCTCTATCTTTTTTTTTGAGCTGGAGTTTTGCTCTTGTTACCCAGGCTGGAGTGCAATGGCGCGATCTCAGCTCACCGCAACCTCCGCCTCCTGGGTTCAGGCAATTCTCCTGTCTCAGCCTCCTGAGTAGCTGGGATTACAGGCACGCACAACCATGCCCAGCTAATTTTTTGTATTTTTAGTAGAGACGGGGTTTCACTATGTTGACCAGGATGGTCTCGATCTCTTGACCTTGTGATCCACCCGCCTCGGCCTCCCAAAGTGCTGGGATTACAGGCTTGAGCCACCGCGCCCGGCCTGAGGATGCCTCTATCTTAACACCACCATTAGGAATAGGATAAACTATGAATCTTCCCTGAAGCAGAAATGCTCCTGCATCTTTAAACAATCTACCAAATAGCAGGGATTATACATTTAACTGAATATAAACAAATTAGTGAATGAGAAAAGTCAATCTCTCAAGGATAGCATTCTTTTTATATATAATGGTATACTTTCTGAGTACCTAGTCTATATAATGCATTACAGTAAACACAAAGAAAAATCTTTGTCTCAAAAAAGTACCATCTAACATTACTGTTTCCATCCATGGAAACACTATCAATCTTTTTTTTTTTTTTTTAATAGACGGGGTCTTCCCCTGTCGCCCAAGCTGGAGTCCAGTGGCACAATCACGACTCAGTAGAGCTTCAAACTCCTGGGTTCAAGCAATCCTCTCACCTCAGGCTCTCGAATAGCTAGGACTACAGGGCTGCACAACCATGCCTGGCTCATTTTTTAAAAAATTTTTGTGGAGATGGCCCCTCACTATGTGCCCAGGCTGGTCTTGAACTCCTGGCCTCAAGCAACCCTCTTGCCTCAGGTTCCCAAAGTGTTAAAATTACAGGCATGACTATCATGCCCAGCTTAATGTATATGTAGCTTTTCAAGAGAATGTCTAAGCAATAATTTCAATTTCTTAATACCTTATTTTTCTCAATCATCTCTTTATAAACAAAAGGTATAGAAATATACAATATTCTATAGGAAGCTAGTACCATTTAATAGAAACATAGCTATTTGAAGGTAGAAGATCCTTACTAGTCTGAAGAAGTCAGTTGACTTTTGAGCTCTTACCCTTTATGTTCTTGGAGAAGTCTGAACACTGCACAGCACTCTGGTTGCAGGCCCCTCACCTTCAGCGCTTTCATAAGGCAGTCATGCAAGCTCATTCCATTTCTCACATTGACCTACAAACAAAGGACTACCTTTAGGACCAACACAGGCTGCAGCACCCCTTGGAAAAGTAAGCACAGAAATGAATGCACCAGTCTGTAAAGGTGCAGGCAGATATATGACAGCATTGCTTGTTGATGGTGCACGCACACACACACATATATGAAACAACCTCAATGTCCAGCAATAGGTAGGCACTTGAATGAAGAGTGAGACATCTGTATTATGTCACATTATGCAGCTACTATATTACTTATAATGACCTGGTTGGAGAGGAGTCCATGATATATTAATTGGGAGAAAATATCTTTCAGAATAATACATAGAGTAAGATTATTTTAAAGATAAAGAGGCCAGGTGCATGGATCATGCCCGTAATCCCAGCACTTTGGGAGGTCAAGACGGGTGGATTACCTGAGGTCAGGAGTTCGAGACCAGCCTGGCCAACATGGTGAAACCCTGTCTCTACTAAAAACACAAAAATTAGCCGGGCATGGTGGCGGCACCTGTAATCTCAACTACTTGGGAGGCTGAGGCAGGAGAATTGCTGGAACCCAGGAGGCAGAGATTGCAGTGAGCTGAGATCGTACTACTGCACTCTAGCGTAGGTGACAACAGCGAGACTCTGTCTCAGAAAAAAAAAAAAAAAAAGGTGAAGAAATCTGTATATGTTATTTGAGTGTGGAAAGATTTACACTTAGCTGTTTACATCAAGAGACAGTGGTTAAGAAAGATAAAATAACCTTTCCCTTTATAAATCTCTAATTTGTTTGATTAGAATGTACACACATGGATATTCACTAGATTCATTAGAGAGGAAATAAGCTAATCTAATATATAAACAAACATGAGTTTTTATGATCAAAATTTGTACTTCAACCTATTTTCAACAAAAATGACTGATCATTCCATCTCACATGCACTTAACACTAGTTAAGACAAAGCAGGAAGTGGAAGAAATAGAACGCCTGCCTTGTTGTAGGGACAAACACCAATCTTAGTTTAAATACATGTGCACACCATACCAAGCAGTCTTACTGGCACATACTTCTCTGCATTCCCCTGTACTCAATCCTCAAAAAGCTAGGCAGGTACTCAGAACCCTACTGGGAAGTGTGAGTACCCAGGATACTCATAATTAATGTCAGCTATAAGAAAAAAACTGAACTAATAGGACAGGCATGGTGGCTCATGCTTGTAATCCCAGCACTTTGGGAGGCCGAGGCAGGTGGATCACGAGGTCAGGAGTTCGAGACCAGCCTGGCCAACGCAGTGAAACCCAGTCTCTACCCAAAACACAAAAATTAGCTGAGCATGGTGGTGGGTGCCTGCAATCCCAGCTACGCAGGAGGCTGAGGCAGGAGAATCACTTGAACCCAGGAGGCAGAGGTAGCAGTGAATCAAGATCATGGCACTGCATTCCAGCCTGGGTGACAGAGTTAGACTGTTTCAAAAAAAAAAAAATTGAACTAAATTTACAGAGTTTTGATAAAAAGCCCTCCATGTCGGGCCGGGCGCGGTGGCTCAAGCCTGTAATCCCAGCACTTTGGGAAGCCGAGGCGGGTGGATCTCGAGGTCAAGAGATCGAGACCATCCTGGTCAACATGGCGAAACCCCGTCTCTACTAAAAATACAAAAAATTAGCTGGGCATGGTGGCACGTGCCTGTAATCCCAGCTACTCAGGAGGCTGAGGCAGGAGAATTGCCTGAACCCAGGAGGCGGAGGTTGCAGTGAGCCGAGATAGTGCCACTGCACTCCAGCCTGTGTAACAAGAGCGAAATTCCATCTCAAAAAAAAAAAAAGCCCTCCATGTTTTAACTTTAAAGCCAAGAAAGGTAACAAAAGTAAGGCGACTAGAGTCAGTATGGCCAGCAAGGAGGGCAAAACATAGATTTGCACTGCTTGTGAACTGCCTATAGCAAGTTTCCTCTTCTAATTTGACTGCAGCCATCCCAGCCCCTCCCCAGGTGGAGAGAGTTAAGGAAGCAAAGCAGGGCTCCAACAGGCCCAAAGTGTTCTTAATCTTGGCTTTTACTACAGCCACCTCAATGCCAATCCAGCCAACCTTCTCTGGCTGATTTACAACAGAAAAAAAGTCTTAAGAAACAGGACATAGGTATCTGGGCCCAACTAGTTACCAGGTTCCAAACTAGGGAACAGTATTTGGATGCAAAGCAGAGAACACAATCTGGGAAAGAAGGCAGTGCATGTGAGCCTAAGGAATTTGAACATCAGAGGGGCAACCTAAGTTTTTCAAAAGGCTATTACCAGGAACTGATGGGGACTTATCTGCCTCGTAATCATTCTTTGAAGCCCAAAGATGGACTCTACATTGAGAGTATAGTATAGAAGAATCTGAACGTGTAACAGGTAAATTCAGAAGGTGATGGGAGTAGGGAGGAATATTCTCCAGGAGGATCAATCATCTGGGAGAAAAGAAAAGGTTTTCCAAACAAAAAAAAAGCGTTCCTTTGGAGTCTGTGATAGCCTCCTTAGCTACTGATGGTTTTCCTCTCCTTCAGAGATGTGGAAAAAAAGAAATGTCGTGAACAACAGGGTAAGAGGAAACCAACTGATTCTTTGAATAGATAAAAACAGATCACAGGAAACCTCTGAGGAAAATAAATGGGGATACAGGAGCAGGAGTCACCCAATACTTTTGGCTCATATGAATGCTTCACCTATTTAAAAATAAATAAAATCAACAGTCTTTAAAAGTTCCTTGAACACACCAAAATAGTTCAGACAAATTATATCTGGGATTTGTGTCAAAACATTTGGAAAGAAGTGGGTGAAAACATAGATTAAGCAGGACTGCCATGGTTAGCTAAGTGTTTAAAGTGGATAATGGGTATATCAGATTTGTTATTATCTCTATGTGTGTGTGGAGTGTAAAATATATATTATATATACTGAGACAGGGTCTTGCTCTGTCATCTAGGCTGGAATACAATGGCATGATCATGACTCACACAGCCTTGACACCTTAGTTCAAGAGATCCTCCTGCCTCAACTGGGACCACAGGTGGCCAGCACCATACTTGGCTAATTTTTTTTTTGAAGAGACAAGATCTCACTATATTGCCCAGGCTGGTCTCAAACTCCTGGGCTCAAGCAATCCTTCCATCTCAGTTTCTCAAAGTGCTGGGATTACAGGGACAATCCTCTGCACCCAGCCTGTATATATTTTTTAATGTTCCAAAATAAGTTTATTTTAAAAGTTTCTTGAAGCAGTGATACCCTGAGAACGATCCCACCAACTACCACCTTTTCAGAAACCAAACAAGTTAGCTATACTGATCTGAACTATGAAGACACTAAGAATGAGGAAAATGACGAGCAATAAACATACACTAACAGAATCATGACCTGCATCAAATACTGTATAGCAATGTTTTCTAAGCAATAAAGTGATATCTGTTATATTATCAGCCTTCATTAAGCCATACTTCAAACTGGGCAGTTCTTTAAATATCGTCTAATCCAGTCAGGTTCCCCAATGTAGCTAGCATTAGAATCCTCAGAGAAGCTTGTGAAAATACAGATTCCATCTCCCTGTCCAACACATCCAAGGATTCGGATTCAGTTAGTTTGGAATAAAGCCCATTCATACAGAATGAATCTGTAGTTTAATCTGCTGGTCAGGTGATTCTAATAGTAGTGGTCCTCAGCTCCAGTCAATCACTCATCTAATAATAACTAGAAGCAGTAGCAGCAGCAGCAAGAGCAACAGTAACATGAGGAAGTCAAAGAGGCACATGTGTTTAGAAAATAAAAATTACAAGAAACACTCAAAAATTAACTATCACATCTAAAATTATTTAAATCAGATACACGTCTGCTGTCTCATTCTCCTCTTTACAACTCTCCACGGATACATGCTAAAATCAGTTAAATAATTTCTAGAACCCACTGAGTGATTATGAGAGTCATTCTCGGTTCAGAAAGTGAAGTGACCTGGTGAGGAGGCAAAAATGCTGACTGATGATGCTGGCCTAGCTAAGTGACTCTTCCCTCCTCTACCACTTTCCTGAAGCTAGGTGCCTGGTGAAAGATGCTAGTTCTTCCACAGTTAGATGGTCAATCTTTAGCCAAAGTAATAGGCAAAACTAACCTAGGCTATAATCTTCTCATAAGCTGTAGAAGTCAAGCTTGGTTTCCAACCACCAGCTGTGCTCAAATAAAGGGGATCAAGAACTACAAAGATGTATAAAAAGCTAAGAAATAATCATAGCTACCACCTTACTTATAAATCAGCCACTGTACTAAGTACAAGCTTCATTTCATAAAGATCAGTAAACAGGTTCAAAAAAGTACAGAACTTGTCTAAATGATACAGCTAATAAAAGACAACACAAAGATTTAAATTGGGGTCTGCTTGTTTTAAAGGTTCATTCACTTAATCACTATGCCAAATTAAGTTTTCCAGCCTTCTGGGCAAAATGGTAGCAGATGGGAATGGAGAAGATAGTCTCAATAACATTCTGAACAAGACGACAATGACCAAATGGTCTTCAGCTTCTCATAACACACACTTCCTATCTGACTTCTCAATTTACGGTCAGAAAGAAAATTAATGAGAAATGGTAGCTAAAATCACTTTGCAAATGAAAGACCACTGTTCAGATACAGGAGATTATTACTATTTTGCCAGATATAACATTTTTATTTTTAAGAAGGGGGACAAAGATAAACTCAAATTTTTATTGATCTTTTGAGTTTTGCCTTTAGTTCAAAATCACCCCGGTATCCAACACTACACTTGGGAGACTCCTTAGGTTCACAAAAAAGGTATAAAAAATTTATTAACAAATTGGAAAGAGTAAAACTGTTAGAGGCAAACAGAGAAAATTCTAGACTGGGGTTCCCAACCTCAGGAACTTGCTTCACCTGAGTATACAGAATAAACACAATGCACTGATTTTACACAAAGAACAGAGGGTGGGAAAGGAAGAGGCATGGAAGTTTTGAACTCAAGTTTTCTCAAATGTTCCACCAGGCAAAACCAGTACAGTACAGTTTCACTTTTCTGTTTTGGCCAGGTGGTTGTCTTTGTTTGTTTTATCCGTAACAGTAGAATTTTTTTTTTCCCTTTGAGACAGTGTCTGGCTCTCAGTCACCCAGGCTGGAGTGAAGTGGTGCAATCTCAGCTCACCGTAACCTTTGCTTCCTGGGCTCAAGCCATCTTCCCACCTCAGCCTCCCAAGTAGCTAGGACTACAGACACGCCACCATGCCTGGCTACTTTTTTGTTATTTCTTTTTTTAGAGCCTCGCTTTTTACCCAGGCTGGAGTACAGTGGCACAATCCCAGCTCACTGCAAACTCTAACTCTCGTGTTCAAGTGATTCTCCTGCCTCAGCCTCCCAAGTAGCTGGGATTACAAATGTGCAACACCATGCCTAATTTTCGTATTTTTAGTAAAGATGGGGTTTCACCATGTTGGCCAGGCCCATCTTGAACTTCTGACCTAGAGTAACGCATTGGCCTTGGCCTCCCAAAGTGCTGGAATTACAAGCATGAGCCACCATGCCCGGCCTGCATTTTTAATTTTTTCGTAGAGATGGGGCTTGCCATGTTGCCCAGATTGGTCTGGAACTCCTGAGCTCAAGCAAACTGCCCATCTTGGCCTCCCAAAGTGCTGAGATTACAGGCGTGAATCACCATGCCCGGCCAGAAAACTTTTTTGTGTATTAAATTCTTAGAAAACTTGAAGTTTTATATCAGGTTGGGTGCGGTGGCTCACGTCGGTGATCCCAACACTTTGGGAGGCTGAGGCAGGCAGATTACCTGAGGTCAGGAATCTGAGACCAGCCTGGTCAACATGGTGAAACCCCATCTCTACCAAAAATACAAAAAAAATCAGCCAGGCGTGGTGGCATGTGCCTGTAGTCCCAGCTACTTGGGAGGCTAAGGAGAACTGCTTCAACCCAGGAGGCAGAGGTTGCAATGAGCTAAGATTGTGCCACTGCACTCCAGCCTGGATGACAGAGTAAGAATCCCTCTCAAAAAAAAAAAAAAAGAAAAGAAAAGAAAAAAATTTTGTGTCAGAAAGCCTAATGGCAATATCCTGCCACGATGCTGCGATGAACCTATCACTGGTACTACAAAAATAAACTATGCAAAACTAATTGGCTGGTGGAAATGCCCTGAAAAAGAAGATTCTATGATTTACATGTCCCCTCCAGACTTGCCCTGGGCCTATGAAACATACAAAAATAATTTTTTCGATGCAATTTTACTTTCTTCTTTATACTTGATTATAATATTCAAAAAACTTTAGGTGAATATTTTAATAGAAGAAATAAAATGTCTTCAAAAAAATAGTTGGAAAGGCCTAGGGACTTTTCAAAGAAAGGACTTTATACCCATAAGACGTACTACTTGTTTGGATGAAGTGGTACAAAGGAAGACATTCCAGGCAAGGCTAACAGAAGGAAGGCTAAGAAGTGGGGAAAAAATAGAGGGTGTGGAAGGAACAGCAATATAAAGAAATAAAAATCTGCAGGTAGAAAAAAACAATTAATAAAGACCCTAAATAACAATGAAATATTTTGCCTGTCTATAAGTTGAACAACATGATCCTTAATGTGTTCCATAGGCAGATAAACAGCTAAATTTCCTAAGTAAAATGTTCACATACCACTGTTCTTTGCTTGTTCGGCAAGAAAACACGGATAGTGTTGCTTGTCTTCGAAGGATCTGTGAGTTTGCCATCATCTGATGCCCGGCGCTGATAGCCAAACTGCTGAACTAGTGTAGGAGAGATGCAGCTGGAGCCATCAAACACAGCATCTTTGAGTCCAAAACCATTGCTGATCGTCTTCCAAGCTCCCTGTATGTGCTCCATTGATGCAGCTTAAACAATTCTTAAACCTGGTAAGAAACACAAATAATTGTAACTCTAGAAACAAAAGTATTTAATCCAAGAATACAATATATAAAGAGTAATCATGAAAACAGCACTATGTGGTTTTTAATAAGTCCTTCTGCTTTTAATAATCAGCATTTCTTTAATAGTGTATTTCCATAAAATATTTCACAGATGAGGGAAATGGGACCAGCAACATGCTCATGCCCGTAATTCCAGCACTTTGGGAGGCCGAGGCCAGTGCATCACTTGAGGCCAGGAGTTGGAGACCAGCCAGGCTAACATGGTAAAACCTTGTCTCTACCAAAAATACAAAAATAGCCAGGCACGGTGGTAGATGCCTGTCATCCCAACTACTGGGGAGGCTGAGGTAGGAGAATCACTTGAACCCAGGAAGCAGAGGTTGCAGTGAGCTCATATCACATCACTGCACTCCAGGCTGGGCAACAAGAGCGAGACTCAACAACAAAAAAGCCCACCTGGAACATGAGCCCAGGTCTCAAGACTTCTAGTCTAATAGTTTTTCAATTACATTTCCTTTCTTCCTCAGCACCTAACCTTGAGTGTGAGTAACACATTAGTACTGTAAGAAATAACTACAAAAAAGCGTAAGCCATAATTGATGAATTCAAGGAAGAAAAACTAATACTTCTAGGATGTATGTTAGACACTTCATAATTTATCTAATTTGTATAAGAACCCCAAAGATTTTTAATCCCTTCCTCCATCCACACTTTCTTTTTAATTACTTTCTGAGACAAGGTCTTGCTTGCTCTGTTGCCCAGGTTGAAGTGCATGATCACAGCTCACTCCAGCCTTGATTTTCTAGGCTCAAATGATCCTCCTACTTCAGCTTCCCAAGTAGCTGGGACCACAGATGCACATCACCATGCCTAGCTAATTTTTAAAAACATTTTTTTGTACAGAAAGGCTCTCACTATATTGCCCAGGCTGGTCTTGAACTCCTGAGCTCTGGCAATCCACTCTCCTTGGTCTCCCTCAAAGTACTGGGACTACAAGTTGAGCCACTGCAAACCCTTTCTTTTTTGGACAGAGAAGTCACGCCACTTGCCCAAGAACACCCCAGCAGTGGGCAAAATAACCAGATTCCATATCTATTTAAAGTCCATTAATGTTCTACCATAACATTCTGCGCTCACAGTTCAGTTCAGTTCATTCTGAGTTCAGTTCATGGTCAGAAACCATGCAGAAGTAAGGGGGGTGGGGTTTCCTCCTTTAGAAAACTTTGAGATTGATAAGGAATTCCATCTTTTAAGCCTTCCTCCTTCAGAAACTTGTTTTACTATTAACAATAGCTACCATTTACTAAAAGCTAACTATTATGAGGCACGATACATAGCATACATTCCAATCATTATCCACCTTAATACTTACACTGTTACTCTAGGTAAGAATTATATCCCCATTTTATAGTTGAGAAAATTCTCACACACACAGCTTCTAAGGGGCAAACAGGGATTCTGAAGTGGGATGCACTGACTCCATAGCCCTTACCTTCCCATACAGAACACTGACACACACATAATTTTAGTCAGAGCTGAAATGGCCTACAATTAAGGACCACAGAATCCAAACCTTGTTTTCAACCAAAAGTTTCTAACTGAAAAATCTACTGTGTGCTAAATCACATCACATGCCCAAATCAAGAGGGCGGTTAGATATTTAATATTCTTAGGTAGCAGCTGAGAAAACCAAAGAGGTTTAGAGACAACTTAAGACCACAACATGGAGTTACTCTCATACAGTTTTGGTACATCCTTTTTGGTGAAGAATATGGTAATATCTAATAAAAGTCTGAAATATTCTTAAAGAATGATCTAGTATTCTACTCCAGAAATTTGTCCTACAGAAGTCTAAGACAAATATATAAAAACATGTGTAAGCATATTCCTTGCAGCACTGTTCATATCCTTGAAAAATTGGGGTAAAGACCAAATACTTAACAACAGGGAATTTAATAAATCATGTTAATATCCATGTGGAAAATGAAGTAGATCCATATATGCGGAGATGGGAAAAGACATATAAGACAATAACAACAACAAAAACCAAAATATATAGTTTGAAACTCTTCAATATTAATCTACAAAGAGAGAGGAAATCTAGAAATACATATATGGGTAGGAAACTCAAGAATTAAAGTGTTAACAGGACTGTGAAGGATTTTTATTTTCTACATTACTTATTTTTAATTTTTATATTTTATGATTATACTATAAACTTCTATTGGCATATTTTATTTCTGTTAAGAGGGCATGGCAGAACAAGATCTCACTGCCTCCTGCCTCCAGAACCCCAACCTGAACCCTGACTCACACCTACCTAACTCTATCCCCAAGTTACTGTGTGGCTGCTTTTTAGGAGTACATACAGCTCCTCTTTTCTCTAGATGTTTGGGGGGTTTTTTTCCAAAGAAGAAGGAAAAGATGGAGGAGCTTAAGCCCAGATGAGAGAGAAATAGATGAGGGAAGAGACAGAGGGAAGCATCTGAGCCATCTCACTAACCTGAAATGATATGGCGCCTAATGATCCGTGTAACAGCCTGAACAAGCTTAAAATGCAACTCATTGTGTCACTCCTGTTTAAAATTCAGAATAAAATCTAAACTCCTTGACAAGGCCTCCAAAGGCCTTCTCTCAGAACACACCAGACTTTGTGCCTCAAGACTTCTGAACTATTTTCTCTTCACTTGGAAGATTGAAACCCTAAAAACAGGTAAGCCTGATTTTTCACATCTTGTCTCTACCCAAGAGATGTCTCTTTAGAGAGGCTTTCCCTAACCACACTAGCTGAAATAGCCTGCTCCCCTTCTGCCAATTAATGCTGTTTTATTTTCTGCATGGTACTTACTTATGTTAGACAGTTTTCAAGTTTCAGTCCTTCTTTCTGCTCTATAAGGACAGAACCCTGACAATCTTGTTCAGTAACTGGAATATAAAGGCACTCAAATATTTACTAAATTAAGTGAAAAGCCAGAATAATGCTACAAAAAAATAATGTTTTAAAATAGAAAATTCCTGTCAAGAACTATTAAATGTGAATTAAATCTTCATGTGGTGATACATCTTTAAAAATACTTTGTTGCAGGCCGGGCGCGGTGGCTCAAGCCTGTAATCCCAGCACTTTGGGAGGCCGAGGCAGGTGGATCACGAGGTCAAGAGATGGAGACCATCCTGGTCAACATGGTGAAACCCCGTCTCTACTAAAAACACAAAAAAATTAGCTGGGCATGGTGGCGCATGCCTGTAATCCCAGCTACTCAGGAGGCTGAGGCAGGGGAATTGCCTGAACCCAGGAGGCGGAGGTTGCGGTGAGCCGAGATCCCGTCATTGCACTCCAGCCTGGGTAACGAGCGAAACTCCGCCTCAAAAAAAAAAAAAAACACCTTTGTTGGCCAGGCACAGCTGTTCACACCTGTAATCCCAGCACTTTGGAGGCCAAGATCGGAGGATCACTTGAGGCCAGGAGTTCGAGACAAGCCTGGTCAAAAGAGCAAGAACCCATCTCTGAATTTAAAAAAAAAAAAAAAAAAAAATTTGCCCGGCGCAGTGGCTCACGCCTGTAATCCCAGCACTTTGGGAGGCTGAGGCGGGTGGATCACAAGGTCAAGAGATCGAGACCATCCTGGTCAACATGGTGAAACCCCGTCTCTACTAAAAATACAAAAAATTAGCTGGGCATGGTGGCGCGTGCCTGTAATCCCAGCTACTCAGGAGGCCGAGGCAGGAGAATTGCCTGAACCCAGGAGGCGGAGGTTGCGGTGAGCCGAGATCGCGCCATTGCACTCCAGCCTGGGTAACAACAGCGAAACTCTGTCTCAAAAAAAAAAAAAAAAAAAAAAAAAAAATTATTTAAAAAAACAACAGTATTTTGTCTTCCAGGAAGATGAACTGTAATGAATTTTATTTTTCATATACATACATATTTCAATTGAGATGAGGTCTCACTATGTTGCCCAGGCTGGTCTTGAACTCCTAGGCTCAAGCAGTCCTGCCACATGTGCACCCCTGCACCCAGTGTGCAATAGATTTTATTCTATATTCAAACGTGGGGGAAGACTGTAATGGAATCGACTGACTACAATTCATTGGTGAAGAACTCACTGACAAGCCTTAAATGTAACCTCAGTCCAAGAACAGTAATTTTACAATGAATTCTAAGTCTTGCAGGCACTTAAAATATAGTGCTGGTACTTAGTAGAGAACATACTACAATGACTTCTAATAAAAAGTGACAAAATAAAAATATAACTTTAATTCAAGTTTTAGATTATGTGTTGTTCACAGAATTTTATTTTCTATCTCCATGTCAAGATCACTTACAGCTTAAGAGGCAAGCTAAGTTAATGTTTCCTAATCATTTTTTCTTTTTTCTTTTTTTTTTTTTTTTCCCAGACAGAGTCTTGCTCTGTCACCCAGGCTGGAGTGCAGTGATGTGATCTTGGCTCACCACAACTTCTGCCTCCCAAGTTCAAGCGATTCTCCGGCCCAAGCCTCCAAAGTAGCTGAGATTATAGGCATGCACCAGCATGCCTGGCTAATTTTTGTATATTTAGTAGAGACAGGGTTTTCCACATTTGCCATGCTGGTCTCAAACTCCTGACTTCAGGTGATCTACCCACCTCGGCCTCCCAAAGTGCTGGGATTACAAGAGTGAGCCACTGTGCCCAGTCTTCCTAACCATTTTCCTGGCACATACTCATACAAAATGATGGGTCACATTTGCAGAACATACTGAAGTAAGCAGACGATGCTGCTTCAAGGGCCCTACAAGCTGTCTCAAGGAAGATGGGTACAAGTCTAACTTATTCATCACAGAAAATTCTACTAAAGTATTCCTTTATCAAGGCAAACATCTGAAAAATCAGGGCAGACATCTGAAAATCAGGGCAGACATCTGAAAACAAGGGCGAAAACACATCTTGTAAAAAAACATCAGCTAGCAGCAACATATTTCAGTCTTAAATGGAGATATTCAGAAACCC